TTACGAAAACGGAATGGTTTTCATACAAAGTGATCAACAGATTAGCCATTGGAAGAGCTTAAGAAAATTTGTGGAAAAATTTCCATCCTAGAGAAAGAATGACTCTCAGTCTAAGAATGCAAACTTTCAAAACTCAACCAACTTCCTCCTACTAACAACTTCACATAGGTTCACCTCAACACAAATTCTCATGACCCATAATATGCTTAAGCCTTGAACATCTTTTTACCCATTCTTTCGACATCCAACACTGACATCCGTAAAATGCAAATGGAACATCTAAGGCTTGATCACGAAGACCACATCTTCGGATATCCACATTGCACTAACACTCTTCTTCAACCACCTTCAAGATCCAATGTGGAGCTAAAACACTAACAAGAAAAATGACATGGAAAATTAAGCTCTAAAGAAACTTCCTCATCACTTAAAATAACAATGCCACTTCCACTAACACAAGTGCTAGTAATGTCAATGCCTCAACCTCACACCTTCTCTATCCAACAATCTACTCCAAATGTTAACGGATCAACTAATGAGCTATAGCAAATGAATGCTACAACCCTTTCCAACACCTTAATGAGCAAACTCTATGAACTAAGGAACCAATTTAAGCTTAGCAACTATCGAGAATCTAGTCAAAGCTACTACAATGCTACTTCGTGTAAGTAGACTAGCTTCACCATCAACCACTTTAGGGTTGATCATCGTTTAACCAAGCAACTTCGTAAACACATTGCTCATTATCACATGGATATGATATGGTAATCACAATGACTTGATCATCAATTGAGCAACACTATGAGCAACACCCATGTCATTACTTCAAAGGTTTATGTGATTATCAAGTGTCAACTCGATTCGATAAAATGCAACATAAATGCGACACTCCACCAATAGAGATTTACAACACTCAACACCATTAACTTTTGTTCACAATATGGACAAGCTCATGCTACTCTCTATCCGACCAAACTCAATACTAATCCAACACCAAGCTACTCAAGGAGCAATAGCAAGGTTCTCCGGAAAAGAATTGAGCATTGCAACCCCAGTCTTCCATAGCAATCTTAGACAAAATGGTATAACGTTTCACCACTATCCATCCCATGACTCACCACTTGTAAGACGATCATTTCCAACATGCATCAAGGTAGGGACTCTTGATTGCATAATGTGAACACGAGCAATGAGTTAACACCTCGTTGCAAATTATCTTTCCAAGAAGAGAAAATGATTTATGTGTTTGATCCTTCGTCCCCGACGACTCCTCATCTTTGACTACACCTCAAGCTTGCATTCGCACTGCCTTCAGTCCAATCCAAGAAAAGTTTATGAGAGAGCACAACAATGGTTACTTGAATCAATAGACTCATCCCTATAGTCTTGATTGATTCACTTGTAATCATGCCTAGGAAGGATCCACTAGTGCCGTGCTAAATAGCTACAGACCAGCCTATTGCCACTCATAGCAAACTTAGGGAAGGTTTGCTTTTACCCATGGTACATGGAACAACTCAATCCCTCTTGTGAGCCCAAGCTCAAGCTCACAGAATATGGTACAACAAGGTAACCGAATCCATACCCAAGGAACAAATGTGAAGTCTTTGCACCCAAACGTGTACCCACTCGGATCATCATTTTCATCTCTACGTATGCAACGAGACTAGTTGCCCAATCTCATTGAATAATACTCGTTGAGACTCTTCCTCTGGTACCAAATGTAGCACACGTGGTTTTAACCCTTTATCCTATGGTGATTTACCATAGGATAACACCACAAAGCGGAACCTAAACCCTCTTTGTGCCACGTGACATATGCCACGTGTCACATGCCACGTGTCCATGCCACGTGTCCATAGGAACCCGAGGTTCAGGGCCTTGGGCCACTGAACGAAGGAACGGTGCCAAACTCCCAAGCATGGAGCCAAGGAGTGACGGAACCGAACCACGGAGCAACTCCCGAGCATAAAGCCCAAGGAGCGAAGAAGCAGGAGCTCGAAGCGACTTGGAACAGTCCTAGAGTAACTAGCATCCCAATGCCAGGACCAACACGCAAAACGGAGCTAAACGGAGTCTGGCGCTATTTCGGCATACTGGTGGCCTAACGCGAGGATATGGGTACTCCACTAGCTAGCATGGAATGGAACTTGGGCTTAGACTCAAGCCGGACGCAGAACAAGGACAAGCACACAAGCGGGAGCTAGACTATACCTCAAGTTGGTCAGCCATGCCCGACCTACCCACTATCCCTACTATACATTTGGAACCCCCCACAGCCCCCCCCCCCCCCCCTTAGGAACACACGCTTTGGGCTTTCACCCTAAGCCTCCCTTAGTATCAGGAGTTAGTCTCTAGGACAAGCTCGAAACTTACTAAATATGGAATGTCCCTAGATTGCGAATTTGGACACGGGACAAACACCATTGTGTTCAGGACGATTTCTACATTCCGTAGATATGCTAAATGAGCAAATCTAGACACTTTCCATAAATAGCATTTGGGACCGAAATGAGACTAACACAAAGGGCATGATAGCGAGGGTGTTTGGCAGACACGGTAAGCTATCATCTGGCGATATTGAGGGACCAATCTCAATACGCGAGGGTTCTTGCCAAGCCAGTGCAAGACAAAGCAAAAGAGAACTAAGAGCTAGGCCGAGAATGCTCAGCTAGAAACACATAGGAGTTCCTACCTTATGTCCATCTGGCTAAGTACAGATGCTAAGCCCAGTAAACTAACACTTGAACAAGAGGGGCTAATAAAGGTAACCAACAATACCGACCTCCTGCCATCGTGGCAATAAGGTAAGAGTGTCCGTAAGGACAAGTCGACAGGTAACTTTCGATACCCGAAGTCACATGCGCGACATTAGCTCCATGCTTGGGAGTTTGGCACCGTTCTTTCGTTTAGTGGCCCAAGGCCTTGAAACTCGGGTTCCACACCACTATCCTTTGGACACGTGGCATATAGAGGGTTTAGGTTCCACTTCCATGGTTATCCTATAGTAAATCACCATAGGATAAAGGGTAAAAACCACGTGCACTACATTTGGTATCAGAGGATAGTCTTAGTGAATACTATCCAATGAGATTGGGCAACTAGTCTCATTGTATATGTAGAGATGAAAACAATTATCCGAGTGGGTATACATTTGGGTGTAAAGGCTTCGCAATCGTTCCTTGGGTAAGGATTTTGTTACCTTTTTGTACCATATTGTGTGAGCTTGTGCTTGGGCTCATAAGATGGACTGAGATGCTTCGTTTGCACGAGTTTGTGCCTGGGCTCATAAGTGAGGCACATTAGCAACTCAAGGTTACACTTTGAGTTGGCAGGATTAATATTAATCTATCGATGGTTCCATGAGTTGTTCCAATGGTTCCATGAGTTGTTCCATGTACCATGAGTGAAAGTAAACATTCCCTGGGTTTGCTATGAGTGGCAAATAGGTTGGTCCGTAGCTGTTTAGCACGGCACTAGTGATCCTTCCTAAATATGATTATGAGTGGCTCAATCAAGATTGTAGGGATGAGTCTATTGATTCAAGTAATCATTGCCGTGCTTTCTTATAAACTTTTCTTGGATTGAACTGAAAGTAATGCGAAAGCAAGCTTGAGGTTTGGTCAAAGTAGCCAAGTCCTGAATTGGACTTAAGGAGGTTGTGAATGAGACTCCTTCAAGCGGTCGAAGGTGTGGTTAAGTGACTAAAGTAGAATGGAAAAATTAGTCGCTTACAACTTGGTATCGGAGCTATTCCTTAGTCCGACTTTTATTGGTGCTTAAGTATATCACCATTGATATTGGCATCGGAAGGTCCTAGGAGTGGGCCTATCCTTGAGGAGTAGCACGTCGAGAGGACAAGGCTGAAAAGAGAGTTATTAGGGACGAAGGATTAAATATGTAAATCATTTTCTCCTTTTGGAAAAATGATTTGCAACGGGGTGTGACTCATTGCTTGTGTTCACAATATGCAATCAAGGATGCATGTTAGATATGATGGTCTTATAAATGGTGAGTTATGGGATGGATAGCAGTGAAGCACTAAGCCATTTTGTCTAAGCTTGCTATTGGAGACTTGGGTTGCAATGCTTAATTCTTTTCCAGAAAACCTTGTTATTGCTCCTTAAGTAGCTTGGTGTTAGATTAGTTTTGAGTTTGGTCGAAAAAAGAGTGGCATGAATTTGTCTGTGTTGTGAATAAAAGTTAGTGGTATTGGGTGTTGTAAATCTTTATTAGTGGAGTGTGACATTTATGTTGCATTTTGTCGAATCAAGTTAGCACTTGATAGTCACATAAACCTTTGAAGTAATAACATGGGTATCGCTCATGGTGTTGCTCAATTGATGATCAAGACATTGTAATTTTATATTATATCCATGTAATATTGAGTAATATATTTACGAAGTTGCTTGGTTAAATGATGATCAACTCCAAAGTGGTTGATGATGAAGTTAGTCTACTTACATATAATAACATTGAAGTAGCCTTGACTAGATTCTCAATAATGATTTATGATATGCTAAGCTTAAGTTGTTTCCTTAGTTCCTTGAGTTTGCCCATTGTGGTGTTGTGCCCAAATTGCTTAGCTAACAATGTGATCAGATGGGCAACATGGATCTTTCTAGAAGATTTTAATTTCTAATTTAGAAGTTTTTGTACTTTCAGAGCGGCATTTAATAAAGGACCTAGGGAAATTGTCTACATTCATCCAAAGTTGGAAATCAATATACAACATTTCTATCATGGTATCATAATATCATTTGATTTTTTTTTAATCCTATTTCTTTTTTGATATAATGATTAACATTTAAATGATAATTATTAAGATTTGATCTGTAAGGAATATATCTAGAATATTTAAGCATATTTTAGAATATTCTTATTGTGATTTTTCTTCTTAAACTTTTCTCTTAACATTAATATTATTAATTATTATTAATATAAACCACATGACTAAATTTCAAGGAGAAATAGAGATCTTTCCATAGATGGGCATTCTTGGATTTTAGAGGTGATGGGGAGGCCATAGCAATGCGGCCACGACCATGGCGGCCACAGCCATGGCCGTGGCTATGTGTTCTTGTTCCCAGTTTTTTTTTTCAGGCTCTCATGGTCAGCTCGCATGGCTGAATGAGACTGGCCAGCTCGCGGCCAGTCCATGGCTGAAGGGATTGGCAAGCTGGCCATGGCTGAATGAGGCACGAGGGCGTGGCGAACGGGTGTGGGAGCATGTTCTTCAATCTTCCTTTTCTCTTTTTGTGCTTGATCTTGGGTGATACTTTTCCAAGAAAATATCTAGATATTTTTCAGCGGCAAGGGTTAAACGTGACTACATCTAGCGGTGGATCTGAGACTCTGGTTAGACGGCATGGTGTGGCGGCGGCTGTTAGGTGAGTGAGTAGAAGAGCGCAAGACCTCGGCTGACATTTTAGCTTGTGGGCGCAGGAGTTATCGGTGGATCTGCCCGCGGATGCAGCACACTCGCGGAAGCTCGAGTCCGAGCTCGTGCTCGTGTTCGTACTCCTGCTCCTCCTCTCAAGCTCGTCTATGATAACACCACCACCTCCTTGTTCCTCTTCTCCGATATCTGCTACAACCGGGAGTTCACTGCATATGGCTGCCCCGACACGACGTTGCTCGATCACCTGAGCTACGCTCATGGAAACATCTGTCCCAAGAAGCGTCGTACACACGCAAATGCCCTTTACTGGGGAGCGCCTTGGAGCATTCCAGCCTACGTGTATGACAACGAGATGGAGCCTTCAATGACGCCGCTGGAACCATGCCAGATCAGGAGCATCGAAGCCGTGGGCTGCATCTCCACATTCGAGCTCGGCCTGCGGTGGCAAGGCCCTCCTGCGCAATTCGTGATCGATGAAACTCTAGGAAAGCTCGATGCTAAACAAGTCCTCGTCTATAAGGAAGCGGATTCCATCTGGCGAAATCGGGTCTCCACCGGCTACATCCTTCTGGCGGTTCCCACCAAGGCATTGGAGTATGGAGCTCTGGACTGGGTTGTCAACTACGAGGACTACCGGGGCATGCCAATGACAATGTCGGCCAGGAAGGTCATCCAGGCGTCTCGTGACCGCAGACAGGATCCTGTCAAGGAGCTGAACGCTGTGGACGCGATCGGGATCAGAAAGTGCGGTGTGGTGGATCTCCGCGGCATTGGCGTCAATAGAAAGATGGGCCTCTTTTTCTCCGAAGATGCTCTACGTGACGTGCTGCCGAGTGGGTCTGGTGCCAAGCTTGTCCCTGCTAAGGCACTCTTTGACGATGGTCTTTGGGACACGCTTGGTGTCCAGGACATGGTGGCCAAGGATGCGGCCGTATGTGACATAATGCATTCTCAGGGCATAACAGAGATGGTGCTGCTCAAGTCGCAGGTAAATTACTCTTATTACTTGTGATCCTTTTTTTTAACAGGATTGTGGGGGCAAGGTTGAAAATTCTGAGGGTACAAAGTTGGTCGAGCCAAAATCAGAGATAAATCACTCTCTTGTCAAACCAGAATCTCAGGTAAATTTTGTTTTTTGTGATGCTTACTTCCACTTCTATATTAGTTGGCAATGCAAAATGCCAGCTTCACATTCCCTGCCTTACACTAATTGGCGATGCAATGTTTAGGTAAGCAAAAACTTTAAATTTTAAATTTAGTGCCTATAGAGTGAAGACAAGAAGAATGGGCGTACGGACGTGTCTCCAGATTGAGAACATGGCGATATTTCTTTTTCTTGTCGGTGCTAACTGAATCCTCTTGATCGCTGGGTGAAGCGTGGCTGAATGAGGTGGCATTTCCAGAATTAGGGTCTCGCAAGGGTGGAGAGAAACTGGATTGCGGGTCTTGGAGCAACGTTAGGGTACGCGCTTGGAGCAAAGGCAGGAGCAGCATGGGTGGGCTGTGGTGTTGCAGCTAGATGCCATGCTTGGCGTTTGAGTAGCCGTAGGGAGGAATTGGGTGCCATTGCGTGTGCAGTTGGAGCTGCATGGGCCACGGTGAGGGCATGAATCATGCCATAGCAGGGCTGGACGACTTGTGTGTCGATCACTGGGTCATTTCTTGGGGCAGTGGAACATGCTGGCTGAGCTGAGGTACGGGGTTTATATATGCAGTGCTCTGATCTGTGATTATTTCATCTGCAGTGCTGTCACTTAACTCGAGCTGGTGTAGGGCTTGGGCATTCGCTGGGATAATGTCTATATCCCTTGCAACGAGTACACCAAATATTCTCACGTTCAGTAAAAGGCTGAGGTAGTGTTTGGACTCCTTGAATCCAGTTAAGCTGAAGCTTGAACATTTTCTTGGTGAGTGTTTCCAAGTCATCACGTACTTTGGAAATTTCTTGCGACTGTGGCAGAGCTGAAAAGGAAGTAACTGTGGCAGGAAGTACAGGCTGCTGGAGGCAACTGTACTCAACACTTCCAGGAAAAGGTAAAGTCGCTGGGTCAGTGAGCAAAGAATATGGCTGTGATGCTGCTGATGTTTGCAGGGAGGGAAAGGTTGGCGGGATCACTGGAGGACCACAAGCACTGAAGGAACGGAGTAGAAAGGCTGCTGGAAGCGAGCCATGCTCACATGGGCTTGCTCCCAACTGGAAGCTGTGGAAATAGCCTCAGCAAGTGTGGTGGGGGTCTGGCCCTTCGTGAAGAAAGCCAATTCGGGAGGCAGGCCGTTCGTGAAGAAGCGAACCTGATAGGAGGGTCCTTTTTAGCGACTAGCCGCCGAAACCGGATGATAAACTTTGTAAGCTTTCGTTTGGCAGCAATCGAATGTAGTTAAGTTCCTCACTAACTCGCTGTGCGAATCCCACGGGTTGGAAAGCAGCGAGAAAGGCTGATCGAAGCAGGTCCCAGGTCGCAATACTGGCTGGTGCAGAATGCTGGGCTTGGAGATACCACTCCAGAGCAGCGTCCTGGAGTGTAGCAGGGAAGAACCGAAGGGGATCGGCTTCATCGGCTTCTTGATTGGCAATGCCAACAGTCTCAAAGGAATTGGGATGTGCGTCTGCATCGTCGCCCGCAATGGGCGAGAAAGAAGGATACCTCATGCGTGTAAAATGCTGTCCTGGCAGAGGAGGAATTGGTGGCGGCAGCAGTGGTGGTCCACCTCAGGATCCACCAGCGCCGCTCATTCTTGGAGGAGTAGAAACGGAGATGAGTGGGGGAGGGGCTGGTGGTGGGGACAATTGGTACTCGCCCTAAGCTTCCTCGTCAAGATCTGGTGGGGAAGAAGGCTCCTCGCTTGGTGATGAGGGTCTTACGCGAGGAGACAAAAGTGGCGTAGAAAGCGCCTGATGTCGTGCGTAGCAGGCTGCCCGCTCGTCCTGCTGGCGTCGGATTTGCTCCTCCCGCTCGGAATCCAGCAAGATTTTAACTAAATGATCGTGCTGCTGTCTAGTCCCAATTGTTCAATTGTGGTACTTGGTTCGGCTCTCCTCGCTCGAACTCTGTAGGTTTATTGAAGAATGGGTTTGGGCAGTGCACCAGTGAAAACACCCCAGGGAATGTCTAGGAGTTTGTTCTAAGGTAAAACCGCTGCCCACAGTGATGGTGGCTTGACGACGCTCTCTTTCTTCCCTTCATACTCGAAGCCGCTTGTTCACACGATCTAGAGCAGGAACTCTTTGTTGAGGCATCCTTTATTCTTCTTCTTCACTTCACTTCCTTACATATGATGATCAACTGTTTTTTCCCTTTGTCCCCAATGGTCGTGACCCTAGGCAGGGAAGAGTCCAGGAACCTTGTAATTGGAAGTGATAATCTGATGGAGGAATTGTACAGATTTACTTGGTGCTCCTTAACTGGTGCTCTCTCACCTCTTGCTATTGCTTCTCATATTGGCTCAACCTTTCCTCTGTCCTTCAAGAACATCAATAATAGTCAATTTGATGAAGTCCTTATAGTAGTAATATCATAGGTGTAGCTTGCCATTGTTTGCACAACTTTTTAAATGTTAATTGGAAATCTGGCTTGATAAGGTGGTAGTGTTGGTTTAGGCTCTAAGCCCAATGGAACTTACAAATACTCTCACGACCTTCTAGGGGTTGATTATTCCCAAAGACTGTTTGGATACCATTCCAATTAGCCCCAGCCCCATCTGCCATGAAACTGCGAAAGTTGGCAAGCTTACCAGTCCGCTTCAATAGAATGTTGGAGAGGGATTTCCAAAATATTTCTTGAGCCATCTGGTCTTGTACTTTAAACTCTGTTGTTGCAATTGTCAAGTTACAACGTAGTCTTTGAAAAAGGTAATGCTTAAAACCATTTTAAGATAATGAGAAAAAAAACTACCTCGAATCATACACATGAGCTCCCATGGTTGTCCAACCTGCCACCCACTCCATATGGTCAAAATGTACCCATGCATTAGCAAGGTCACTCGACCCAGATATATCCATTCGGGAAACAAGATCCACACCAAAGGCGGGGCCCATGGTAGATATTTTGAAAATAAAGGGGCGCTCTTGCTCACTAACGACTTGATCTGGAAATAAACTCCCATGGATAAACTCGTAAGGACAAGTCTGTTTTAGTTCAAGGATTGAGTCGATTTATTATTGGAGTTTCCCCTCTCGAGATTCACACATCCAAGACTTTATCCTAAATAAAACAAAATGTAAGAGAGATATTATTAAAAAGTATGTAATAATATTTTCATACCTTCTGAGGCTAGTTGCAGGTTGCACATGTCGTAGTAACTCCTGCAAACTAGTCTCATCCAGTTGAGTATTCTTGTAGTCCGGATCAAATAAAGTGCTTGTGATAAAATCCTTGAGCATTGTCTTTTGAATATGCTTCAGAGTTGCAGATGAATTTCTCATAGTTTCTATCTGCACTGCATCTTTGAAACGGTTGACTAAACTCCTTTGTATCCCTTCTTGCATTGGATGTGTGTGCGTGCTAATATATACTGCAACTCTACTAGCCTCTCCATCCCGTGGAAGAAAATAGTACATCTTGGCCCCGTAGATGGCACGACACAATGGAGCATTCTTGTAAAACTGACACTTGAATCCAACACCAATGGTATCACAGATGGAAGGATTGGTTGCAGATCCTTCAAAAAATGTGGAGTTTTTACTGCGCTCTCGATTGCATGCTTTATTCACACAATCCAAATATCCACCACAATGAACCATGGACACTGTGCCTTCGAAATGCTGGAAATGTGTGGTCTTGATCTTGCACCAGTTGTGGACGTCCTACTTCGTTTCCATCCCCTTTCATTTTGAGTTGACAAGAGGTGGTAGTTCAAAGAAGATATTGCCATTGTATGTAGATGGGAGCTCGCTAACGGGGCTATGTAGAAAGGAACACATGTCGATAGAGAGGCGGGAAAACTGGAAAGCATTGCAAACAACTTTGAATATCGGTGAAGTTGGAGTTTGGAAATTCTTGGCTTGCACTGGACTAAAATCTCCACTAGAACTAGAAGAGGAAGAAATGATAACGACCGACTCTTGCTTCACATTCACTTTGGCAGGATTGCAACCTTGCACTTTGATTGGAGATCCAAAAACTCAAATCTCCTTCGACTTGGAATGTTGCAAATCCCAATGTTGTCCACCTTCACCTACACCCGAAAGAAGAAATTCTGATCATTCAACTACACCAATGTTGTTGCGAATCACAGCCTCCAATGAAATAGAAAAAAAAGAAAGATCGAAACGTCGGCAAAGAAAACTTTCTGAAATAAGACTTTAGGAGAAAGAAAGCGGTGGGTGAATGCAAAAGGAAACTCTCCATTTTGTTGCCTTTAGGTTTTGGAACTTTGAACTTTTATAAAGAAATGTCACCTCAAACATATGCTATGCCATTATGTGAAAAGAAAGGGCGATTTTATTCGAGGATCTAACATCGAATAATGTTGTTATAATAAATTCTGTATGAAGTATATAGGACTATGTTGTACAATATTAAAAGTCTGTATACATTGAATTCAAAAACATGCTCAAATTTATTATATGGACTAACTTTTGGTAGAACAGAAAGAAATATCACCTCAAGCATGTGCCATAATATGAAATATAGGAATGATTTTATTCTAGGATCTACCATCGACCAACTGTTGCCAAACAATGTACATATTTTTAGTACTTCATTAATGCCAGAAATCATCACATTCTTCTGAACTCATTTAAATATATTCCATCTTTGTACTACCATCTATCACCTACAGTAAATTATCTATATACATTGCTTTGGAAATAACACCTTACAATTTAATAATCTTATATTTTCTGACAAGATGCTATTACTTGCAAGAAACACATAATTCTCATTTATAATTTCGTACTGTGATAAATTCAACACATGCGTCTGTGACATTATTTCCACATTATGGCATAGTCATATTAGAGCACACCTCCATTATTAAATTACAACTCAAAAGGACTTTGTCACGTGATCAAATCTAGGATGAAATAGAAATTGTACATTGCTAGCAAATATTTGCAGAATGTAATGAAGATTTACTGCATCCATGATGAACGGTTGTGATGAAAGTTAGGTATGAGATTCAGGACGACAATCAAGTTGACCTTCAGATAGAGATTTCCACAGCGACAACTCTTCCGCCTTCGCAACCAGATAGCTCCAGTCCACATGCACCCCCATTTTTGCCACCACTGCCATCAATGCCACCACCACCACCTTCACCACCATTGCCACTTCCACCATCATCACCACCATTACCACCACCGCCATCATTGCCATTATTACCACCACCGCCGCCACCATCATCACCACCAGCAACATCACTACCATTGCATCCACAACCACAAATGTCACTTATCTTAACATGTTCGCAAAATATGGCAGAAACTAGCTATATTACAGAGCAGTGCCCAAGTGCGCCTGACGGGGGTGTTAGGCCCGAGCTAGGGGCTAGATCTGATAATGGTGCTACTGGAGGTGTAGCTGAAGTTGAAAGAGAAGTGGAGCTACCTGAACACATTATCGACAAGCGCTTCCAAGAGACAATTTTGAGAACTAAAGAGAAGGCCATTCACACAACTCTAGAGTCTCTCAAGTGGGAAGGCTTGGGAGACATGATCCGAGAAATCCCACTATGTCAATTCACTCAGACAAGCATCATTTGGTCTGCTTCACCGCACTTCGTCAACATGGACATCTATAGTCTGTCCAAACAGAATGGCCTTGGGACAAATATAGGTATGTTCCTTGTTTTGGTCTTCAAGCCAGGAACGACAAATACCCTCTCGGTATCACCGGAAATCGAGAGGGTTTGGGATGAGATTTGGAAAATGAAGTCCCATGAATTTGACAACATGCTTATGAGCCATCCTGAGACTCAACAATTTGTGGGGAAAATGTTCTACATTATCAACGGGAATCGTCGCTGGTGTGTGTGGATGAAGTGCATCAATGAATGCTTCCAAGACGATCCTGTCTATCACATCAATGTTCCGGTTGGACATGTACATGTGAGAGGATCTCTAGATGTGGCAAGGCTTATAATAGCTTGCCACAAAATTAATGCGTAAGTACCTCTCCTTCTTCAATCACTTTTAACAATTTGTGTTTTGCAGGTTGGGACAGTTTGCAATGCAGAAACAAAGCCTAGTACATGATATCGAGAAGATCCGGTTTCTTGCCAATCTCGATGAGGATGCAGTCCGCAGCCACTATGGTGATGATTTAGCATCACTTATTCGGCATCAACGAGGTCGTCAAGATGCCAATAGATGGTACAAGAATCTAGTGGCTTTTATGACAGCTGTGTGGAGTAAGGTATGTTCTTCCAAGTATACTTCTTATCATAGAATGTTT